ACGATGGCTGTGGTACTTTTCAGAGAGTCCTGGTTCTGATTCTGAGTATCACTCTTGGCTCCTCAGCCTTGGCAAAATCCTCAGCCTTACTGGCTGAGGATCCTTCAACCCACTAGCACAGACTTTCCAGCTTCCATGGTTGACCTTTGGCCTTCCCAGCACAGATGCATGAAACAGACGGACAGGCTTGAGTCATTGTTGTGGGCTCTAGGCTTACAGCTGGATTCATTGGAGGCATTGTCATGGGCTGTAGGTCCTCAGCTGAACTCATGCAGGATACTTCCATGAGATCCAGGCCCTCCACTAGATCTCCTAGGTCTTTAGTGTGTGGACAGATTTCCTGTACTTTCTTTGCATTTGACTCCTTAGGTGACCATTATAAATAGTACTATAAATTACATGTCCTGTATGTAATTGTTTTCCTTGCAACCCATAATTTTGACACTAACCCAGACATGTCATGAGCCCTAGAGCTTTGTAGATCTAAAGGATTTTGATACTTACTCAGTCCACATCGAGGAAAAAATAAAATTGAAAGCATCAGTTATCATGAGGACAAGACTTCTCATAGAGTCATCCTAATGACCTGCAATTGTTATAAATATATTCTCTTAGACCTAGGATTACTTCAGGCTGAAACATGAAAATACTTTCTCTTAAATTTGATTACTTACAAGCTGTTAAATATAGGAGTGGTTAGTTATTCTCTGAGAATTACTCAACTTGACTATTGCTTTGTCTTTCTATTTTGAAAACACTGATGTTTTCATTGAAAAAAGCAATTTACTTCAGGTTTGCTTTATATATGTTGTTTATTTTACATGCACTGAATTAAGCAAGAACGATTAAAACACTTTAGTTTTTTTTCTATCATTAATACTTGTGTTGTGATATCCAATTTAAAATGGTTATGAAAGAATAAGTTAGGGCCAAATATTCAAAAAGTATCTCAAAGTCAATAAGCTGGACTTTCATCTCAAAGTAGTAATATTACAAACAAGGCCTTTAAAGATTTGAGTACATACAATGAATTATCTATGAGTGAATAAAATAATGCATATATTGAAATTATGCACACCAAATTCAGTTTTCAAAAAGCAAATCTCCATTACAAATAATCATCTGTAAAGGTCACAAGAATTATGATAAAAACTTGCATGCACATTATGCCTTTGAATTAATCAATAAATAAAACATTCTGAGGCCAATGTCAATGAATAAAATTAGTCAATATTATTTATTCCCAGCTAAATATTCTGACATTTGTATAAGATTATCATTCTACCATACTTTAAAATTTTGATGCTAATACTATATTAATCTTATAATCATCGATTCTTTCAAATGGTACTCAACAATGATGTTTAGGGTTCTTACTATTGTTGAAATATTTTCCAATAAATACCATCCTTAGTGAAGTTTACACACTTAGTGAATTTTGCAAAATATCTTATACATCACTTTTGATGGCATGTTATTAGAAGAGGAAATATTACATGTATTTCCATGAAAGGCTGAAGTTACATGTGTGAAGAAAAATCAGGAAAGTAGCCTTATAAAAAATTTAAAAGATCCTATATTTTATTTCAGATTCTATATCAGTTTTTGAGGAAATTTTGAATGCATTTATTTAGGGGTTCTACTCTTTTATTCAAGTGTGCAAAGCCTAGTTAGGAAGATCAGAATTCATTAAGAATACAAAGCGAGATTCCTTAGCCCGGAAGTGTTCACACGCCACAATATTTTTCATCTGGAATAGAAAGTTCCAAAAAATATGTTAATATACCTTAAAACTATTTGAAACTTGAATTCAGTATGTTAGGAGAATGATTAAGGTCTTCAATGTGACCCTCAATTCCCTTTATGTCTTATCAGGAGCTAAACACAGAATTTACCACAGTAGGAGGATCATACATTTGAATCTAAATCAAGGCCTTTGCAAGGAAGATAGGAGGAATCAGCCCCGGAAGTCACACGCAACTGCAGGGTTTTAAATGAGATAACCAGTAGAGACAAAATAGATTTAAAAATAAAGTTGTCTGCAAGGGCAGTGAATCCTTTCCACAAATGTACAGGAGAATGAAACAGGTTTTTTTTTTTTTTTTTTTTTTTTTTGAGGCGGGGGGAGGTTGTTTTGTTTTGTTTGAGTAAGGATTCAACCAGAGGGTCATAAACATCTTCAACAATCTGGTGAGGAAATTAAAAAGGAAAAAGAATCTTATCCTGTTATATAACCAGGCAAAAACCCCTTACGTACATGTTTGGTGTCTTTACCAAAAGGAAAGGTAATATTTTTCTATTTCTTGAGAGGCAGAAAGTCATGTCATGGAGCCTTGTGTCTACATTTGGACTCCCACAGGAAGAAAGAGACAGGAGACCCTACCTGGATGTCCACATTTCAAAGAGATGGCTCCAGTCCAGGAAAGGCATTCTTAGGATGCACAATGGGCAAGAGTCTCATTTCATATTTGGAACAACTTACATACAACTGAAAGAAAAAGAAAGCTTATAACAGAATTGGTGCAGGTTCTCTATATGTATTTAGATAAAGGAAAAATACAAAGTATGTATTTTTTTTTTTTTAGATTTTATGTTCCCCAGCACTATCAATAAATAGAATAAGTAGAACCATGATCAATAAAAGAGTAACTTACCAAGGCAGTAAGTTAGCCTGCTCGTATTAGTTCTACTTTAGGAATTGCTTAAATGGTATTCTTTAGGTTTCAGGCTGTTAAAGTCATTCAGAAGTAAATGGAATACAAGATGATAGAAAAAAAAGCAATGATTAAATGTTTCCAGAAAACAGCTTCCAGGATCCTTTTTACGTAGGTTGCTGGCCTGTTTAGTATAGTTGAACTGGTGCACGTTTTTAGGAGCTCTCACCCCACTTCAGCCTGCGCTTAACTTTGCCTTCCCGTGCCCCTGAGCTTTAGTTACTTTTCCTCATAAAGTTGCAGAAACTCTCCACTATAGTTTGTAAGGCCACTACCTAAAACTCAGCAAATTCCAGTCCTTCATTCAAAATTCACAAAGTTTAATGAAAAGAAGTTTCAAATGATAGTGTGTAACGTATGAGACAAGATAAAAATACATTAAATGTTTAAGTTTTTTTAACAAATTTATTGCCTTAAGACTCCTTGCCATTAATCCTCCTCGAAATACTTGTTCTTCTTTGCACATACTTGTCCCATCTTTCTTGTTGTTTACTGGAGCAGCTGTGGAAGTCCCCTCTAATGACCATCTTTTTGAGTTGGGGGCAAATATTTTATGACTTGCCACCAAGTGTGACCCAATAAAAAATCATTCACAAAAACATTATGGTGTGCCACACCCATTTTATGTAATGGTTCTGGAATCATCTGGATTTTGCCCATATTTAAAATGATCACGAAAGGTAAAGGAATTGAACTGATTCAGGGCATCAAAACAGCTGTGCAGCATAACTAAAGACACTAACTAAAGAGGATTTCCAGAACTGCTCTTGAACGTGGCAAAAATGATAAGTTAATTGTTTGAAGCAAGTAGGAAAATTTTGAGGGTGATTAAAGGCAATATGAAATTCAATGTAATAAATATGTTTTAAATAAACCTTCACTGCGCTTCATCCACACCTTGCCCAGATCAATGGACAATGTACATACATCTGTGTGTTTTATAATTTTAATTTTTTGACAGAAAGATAATTAATATAGTTTCATAATACCATATAGTATCTTGGTATCTTGGCATGTGTGATGCCTTAATAAGCACAGTAACACGATATCTTGACAATAATCCTCAATAGCTTATATAATAATCATAAATAATTTGTATTTTACTAGGTTTCATTGGGGTAAATTTGCATTAACAAATACTCTAGGCTTTGTGGATATAGTCCTAGCCACAGGGTAGTGCAGATTTTGATGCCATTTTTGTAGGTTTGGTGGCTGAATAGTAAGTAAGGTATCTTGTGGCCATGGTTACTTCAAGGATGGAGTCATCTGTGCTGCCATACCCAGCTAGAATTGTAACAGATCCAAGAGACAGGCATTAACCATAGTCTTAGATTTTTTTTCTAATAATGAAACAAAACGTTATGTTTTCTCTCCTGATGGAGTTTTCCATCCATATTTGTGACCTGACCAATAAAGTAGGCAAGCGTTCAATAGCTTTTCTTTTAGAAGCCTGTCTTTTTAGCTTGGAATTAGAATCTCTGTTAATATGGACATTGACTACAGTGAATCAGTTTTCCTCTTCTTTCTATTCTTGATAGATTTTTCTTCTAATGGCCTTATTTATTCATTTGCTTTCTTCCTTTGTATGAACCTTGACTTCATTTCATATATGTGACTACAATGTTATTAATGATAAAGTATGAACTAATTTCCCTTCTATAAAGTTATACACTAATGAATGGGAGATTACTAATGCAAAAGTTCATTTATGCTACATAAAAAAACCATGCAGCAACTCACTTTAAATAAAGCTATTTACAATAAATAAGATATAAGTTATCTCTCAATTAGGTGATGGATATTAAGACTCACACTTTCAACATCTGCCATATGAAAGGATAAATAATACTATTTGTGAGTTCATTTGTTTCTCATATAGTATTGGAATATCTTTCATAATATTTCAAACAAAGTTCTGCTAAATTTTAAGGGATAAATTGAGATAAATTCTTGGTGCTAAAATACTTGAAAATTCATATAGATTATCTTTTCTTTTTAGTTCAAAAGAAATGTAGGTCTCTGATGGTCTAAAACATAGTAATTTTGCCTCAGGGATATGAAAGAGCTAACCTAGTTAAACATATAAAATGATATTTTTAAAATGATAGAACTTGATCATTAAATTATGTAATTTGTCTCTTACATCAACACAGACCTGTAAGTTTTTCTGACAGTATTTTTTTTTTCTTGGCACAGAGAATACTGAGAGACACATCTGCCTCATAATTTGCACGCAGAGAGTTTGTTAATAACCCATCTTTTCCTTCTGTGTCCATCTCTTTGTAGGCTGACTGGCAGCTTTGTACCAGACTTGATAGTGAGCATGAGTAGCCAAATGTGGCTGCACCTTCAAACAGATGAAAGTGTTGGATCTGTTGGCTTCAAGGTTAACTACAAAGGTAATGACAACTTGCTACCGTGAGCAATGTTATCTTAATGCCACCAGAGAATACTTTTAAATTCAAGTTTAATTGCATCTACCAAGCTGAAAACGTTTTCTAAAGCACAAGTGAGAATATATTATAACAAAAATCATTTCACATTTTTACTAAAGATGATGATCCTACTTATTTTATATAAAATGAGGTTTTTTTTTTTTTCATTTAAAATGTGTCTATTTTGTATCCCTCATCTCTTCCCTGTCCGTTATGCTGTCCTTGTACTTCTTCGGCTCTGCATAGCTAGTCTTTCACAGAAAAGATTATTCTATTTCATGTTCCCTAAATAGTGTGCCTGGGAAAAGTCTGCAAAGTGTTAAATACTTAAATATAACGGTGATGGAATTAAATCACCAAATATTATGCAGTACTGATTTTTACCTAATACGTCAGTGGTGTTTTCAGATCAAATACATATGATTAACTCTTGTAAATCATAGACCACAAAATTATAAAATCCCTACTACTCATACCACTGTGTCAAGGTACAGATTAATGATTAATTACACGCAAAAAGAAAACTTTTATTCTAGTTCTACTTTTATTCTAGCTTAATTTTATGAGATGGATTATTAAAGGGTGCATATCTTGGACACATATTGAACCTTGATTAAAGTGAGTATATACACACAATGTTCCTATTAGAAATGCAAATTTGCAACTTCATAACTGTTAATAAATTCAATTAAAACTTTTGCTTTAAGAAAAGAAAATGCAAAACAGGCCATCATAATGTATGTGGCCTGAATTTATTATTACCATTGTGCTAAAATTCTTTATTCTCTATCTTATCAATTAAACAATGCTGTGAAAAACTCTCCCTTGCATATTAATAATTTTTAATCTGAGTTTCCTTTTTCAACCACTGCTATGCCTTTGTGTCCGGACACATTGAAATGAATGCATGATGTTGTCAGGGAGACCAGGCACATTTGTTCTGTATTTTTTTAAACTGGCGACTAAATTTGGTACAATATTAATTTGGATAGTTCAGAAAATCTGTGTAATTTTCAGTTTGAAAAAAGATTAGCCTGATCGTAGTTTGAAATATATTCTTCTTGTGTTTAAAATCCATATCTACCCCCAGTAAGTAACATAAAGTTACAACAGTTCAGGAAATATTAGTTTACATTTAAACTATTGATTAATTTTATTTTTCCTTTTTATTTTGCCCAGCATAAGGACTAAGTGAATCTGGCATCATTACATTCTTTTTTTTTTCATTTTATATATAGTACCTGTCATAAAACCTGTAGTCATTTAAATCTCATAATCGTTAATTGTTGGAGATGCTACTTCAACAAAAACATACAATTATTAAAGCTCATGATCAGGGTGTAATAGTAGGGGAATTGTGTTGATATTTACATAGCTCTCTGTTCTGCTGTAGTTCAAGAATAGAGAGCACACTGAAAAGTAGAACAATTTACCATTTTTATTGTCTTTCCACTTAGTTTTGATCTATAGTAATTTAAAACTTCCAAGAATCCACAGTGCACTATGTATTAAGTGAATTATCGAATATAGAAAGAACATACCCATTCTCTCTCTCTCTCCCTTTCTCTCTCTCTCTCTCTCTCTCTCTCTCTCTCTCTCTCTCTCTCTCTCTCTCTCTCCCTCTCTCTCTCTCTCTCTCAGTCATAAAGTAACAGGCAGAATAAAGTATGTGCAAATATTCAGATATAAGTATCATTCAGATGAGATATTTGAAATAAAGCTATGAGATTCTAAATGAATAATTCCCAGTTTTTTCTTTCCTTTCATATTGTGTCTTCCAGTCTAAGCTAAATATTACTCACAGTGTTCATCTAGTATTAGAGATGTGAACACATTGCACTCTTGCTTAAAATGCTGAATTTTCTATTACCTGAGAACAAAGTCTAAAGCCTTCAATAATCTGTGGTCCAGCTTTCTCCATCCTTATTTAAGTTTTTGTCTAAAATCAAGTCATCTGTAATTCCTTAAACCCAGCAAGTTGTTACACATTTCTTCTTCTTTCAATATTAGGCATCACTATTCCAATTTTAATTTATCTTCAAATCCTTCAAATATCTTCCTTAATTCTTTATCCCTCAGAGATGACTATTTCTATTTCATAAAATAGTAATAAAGAGACACTAAGTGTGTCTCTTTGCTGTTTCTTCTGTTAGTAGCTCTTTGTGCTGCGTCATCAAAATTATTCAGCTAAGAAGAACAAATTATTTGTTCTAGGTAAATAAAGTAATACACACTAAAATATGTTCTCATGATATTACTCCTTTTTTTACTCTGAGGATCACATTTTTGCATTCTCTTTAATGTAAAACAAGACCTTAAGGTTGATGCAAGGTTAAATTTGAAAATTTTTGAATTTTGATGTACAGATAGTTTCAGCAATTTCACCCGCTAAAAATAATCCCATAATTATCATGCTTTCTGTTGAGTAGTGTGTTGGTTCTAAATAGAACACCTGCTATAAATTTTCAGATTTGATATAACGGCATCTTCATTTTTCTCATCTGTAAATTTCATCTATGCTAGCAATGAAAGTACTTTTCCTTTAAGTTCAATGTACATTTTATTGTGGTTAGTCTTTTAAAGTTTTAAAATTTTAAATGTAATGACTAAAGCATGCATTGTAGACTTTCTTCTTGCAATGTGGTTTTGATGGTTGTTTTCTAATTATCTAAGTGAGAGTTTTGGAAAATTGATGTCAAGATAATATGATAATGATAATTTGAATATTGTATATGTATTACAAAACTAAAATTGGAAAAAAAACGTTTAAAGCTGATAGAATGAGAATGGGGAAAACTGCTTTTCGTTCTCTTCAAATGAATGAAAAACTCTAAGAATATAAAAAGAAATTAAAATTAGTATGTTAGGATTATTTTACTGACTGAAAGACAAAAATTTATCTTTGAATACAAGATAATATACATTTGATTGGTTGCCTTTAATTTTAGAATTTCAGCTTTAATCTTTGCAACTTATCTATGCTTCCTTTTTCCTGTATATCTTGGACAGTGTCAGGTTTCAAACATATAATGACTATCAAATATTGCAAATCAATAAAATAGGCTTGTATTTTAAATATAATTTAAAGGCTTGTATTTTAAATATAATTTAATCCCATTAGGATTTATCATGTCCACAGTAGAGAACTGATTACTATGTACTATAGAAGAAATTAATAAAAAGGAACCAGATTTTTCAGAAGTATTTTTAACTTGTTCCAAACAGTAACATCTGTATTAAATGTAACAAGATATGACCATCCTTATTTCCAGACTCGTGTTCACTAAAATTATGTGCCAAAATATGATACTAGATGCTGCTATTGAAAAGGAGAATTAACTTGCTGTCCACTTTGCTCCATTTTTACTGGAGACATTAGTTTGTTTCCTTATTTTTATTACCATTATTTAAAATACATATTAATCAAAGAGGATGAAAATGAAGAGAGTTCTCAGTAGACACATTAGTATTCATTAACACTGCACCTCTTTTTGGATATATTTTCATTTTCATCTTAAAAAAGACTACGGAGCATAAAAGGGGTAATGAACAGTTCCAGTCTTGTGTATTCCAATATTTGTGCCTGTATTTACTCACTAAATCTCATTAGAACTGCAAGAGGTAAGAATTATTATTCACTTTTGCAGGTGGGCAAACTAGGATATGAGCACTATGATGATAGCAAATGTAGTCAGCTTTGTTCGCTTTGTTCATTCCTTTTCGGAATGCCTAAAGTTCCTTATGCAGTGCTTAATATATACTAATCAAGTAATAAATGTGTACAATATGTAAAAGAATGAATGAAAGAATTAGTTAATGATTAATGTGAATAATAGATCAGTAATTTAAAACATAACACAGATAAAACTCAGCTGATTGTGTTCTTTTTCAATATGCCATATTGTATCCCAGGTGATGAGGGATTTTAAGAAGAAATGAAGTTAATCAAACCTAAAGCACCAAAAGGCTGAATTAAATTCCTCAGCTCTCCTTGTGTCATCAGCTACATACAAAAACAAAACCTATGCACATGTATGCATAGACATATCAATGAACACACAGAAACATAACAGGCAAAACCTACCTGATTCTCAGTTGGAAGTAGCCATATTGTTTATTTTATTTTCCGTATAAATTAATTGATATTCTTTAATTGAAAACTCATGGCAGAAATATAAACAAACATATCTCTAGTCTTTATAGTGTTATAAAAGTGATACTACTCCCTCCATTTAGAAATTAGATGCTAACAGTTGTTTACTTAACATTTACTGTCTGACAGCATGTATCCTTCACAGCAGTTTTAATATCTAACACCTGTTGAATGGTAGCTAGTGCCATAATGTAGTGCCATGTGCTCCTGTAAGCGCATGTGTAGTCTCATTGAATTACTGCAATGAGCCAGCGAGGTAAGAAATGATGTTATCTCTACTGATCTGAAGAAATTCAAGCACATCAGATTAGCCAAATTAAAATCACATGGATAGTACATGGCATAAATGCTGTATTTTTAGGCTGAGTTCTTTAAAATACATTATTTTCAGCATCTAAGCTGAATTTTAAACTTTAGACATTTAAATTTTGAAATAGCTGTCAACTAACATATTTGTCCAAATTTTAAAATTTTGATGATGCCATCTGGTTTTATGGAATGACCCACAAATTTAAAATGGAACATTTTCATTAAAGATGATTATTTTCCTTAAATATTTAGAATCATTAATTTTAATGAGGTACTGTGAACTCAGAGTCCCTGTACTTCACTGTACAGCTGAGGCATAAAAATTCCATTGTTTGCCAAATTCAAAGTCTTTTAGTAATTAGGGCATGTGTCAAGATAAAATAGCCTAATACAAAAAAATCAAAATCGATTATTTACAACTATCAGACCCAAAATTAATTTAAATACAGTAAAAACTGCATTCTTTTAATGTTTATTTACTGATAGAGATTTTTATTCATCA